TGATTTTTAGAGCCTAATTTATGAATTAGTGGTTTGGGCACTGGTAGAATTTATAAGTCAGTCACAAAATTGCATTTGATCAAGTAACAATGATGACTGGTTTTGATATTATTTAGTGACAGATCTATAACATTTCAAAATGCTAGTATTAGACTAATTGTAGTGTTGTCATGACCTGGTATGCAGTTCCTGGGAACTCATTTGTAGCTCTCATCCAAAGAAATTCAGTGAAGGCCTGAAAGGGTCTTAGTTATAAGACCATTAAACCTATAATACTATCCTAGACAGTGTTTGAGTAGGATTGTGATACAGAAAATATTATAATGACGTTGTATTTGTCCTTTTTCTTAGATGTGGCCGTCTTGTGTATCATCTTGGTTTGCCTTTTTCCTTCCTAACATTCCCATATGTAGAAGAAGCCATTAAGATTGCCTACTGTGAAAAGAAATGTGGAAACTGCTCTCTCACGGTATTTTTCTGAATTATTTTTCTGGGGAGAAAAGAGGAAATCTTTTAAGACCTATCTAAATAAGTTACTGTTTCGTGATAAATTACTCAATGCTTTTGCAGGTGTACTAAAAGTAAATAAAAATAATTTTTATAATTAAAAATATCTTGTCATCTAACCTCTACTTTAAAACATTTTCTGAAGATCGATGCTGCTGCCTTTATCTAGAAGTGCTTTATAACTTAAAAATCAATGTAGATCATATTTCAGTTACCACCAAATGACATTGCATGAGCATAAGTGCTCAAAGAATTTAGTCAACAAAAAAATATTATTGTAGTATCCTGAACATGTCAGCACAAGAAGATGGTAATAGCAAAGTTTACCCACAGCATTACTTGGAATGGAACTGGGGCAAGAAACTACTTAATTTTTTGAGGATGTAAGACTGTCTATCAGATTTTTCCTGAAGCTCTTCCACTGTCTGCCCATCTGCAGTCTGAGTTTACTTCAAAATGGAATAAGTTTTCTACTCATTACTGGTATTTATTGCCTAAAAACTATGAAAATATTTTTTCCTTGTTATAAGAAGAACTATATTTAATTTTTTTTTTTTTTTTTTTGAGACAGAGTCTTGCTCTGTTGCCAGGCGCCAGGCTGGAGTGCAGTGGTGCAATCTCGGCTCACTGCAACCTCTGCCTCCTGGGTTCAAGCAATTCTCCTGCCTCAGCCCCCAGAGTAACTGGGACTACAGGCGCATGCCACCACGCTCAGCTAATTTTTGTATTTTTAGTACAGATGGGGTTTCACCATGTTGGCCAGGATGGTCTCAATCTCTTGACCTCATGATCTACCCTCCTTGGCCTCCCAGAGCACTGTGCTTACAGGCGTGAGCCACCACTCCTGGCCTTAAATCTTTTTAAATAAAAAAGGCACTCAAAGAATTTATTTTAGTTTGTATTAACTAGACTTGTTTTCCTTCATATAAAAATGAAAAATAATTCTGAACAATGTTTCATTGATAGGTCAAATTGCCAAAACCTAAACTTAGGTTTGAAAACAATTCTAGTTTTATCTGTAAATTATATTTCCTTCAGATTTTCCTCAGCTTTAAAGAAAGCCAACTCTAATTTTTAAAAAATTATCTAATTAATTAATTTAAAGGAGTACAACAAGTTAACTCTAGTTATGTAATTTTCACATTTTAACCTTTATAATGATCTTCTGCAGGTTATTTTACTACTTTTAAAGATGAGGAGACTGAAGTAGTGGAAGAAAATACTAAGAGTAATGATAGAAAAGTACTAACTCAACCTATACTAAGCATTTAATAAATACTATAATGATTCCTCATATTTTGGGATTATTTCTGTATTTCTCATTTGTGTAAATGCCTGATAGTTATACCCAATTAAATTGAAAAAAGGCAGAAACAGTTACCACAATATGCTTAAAATGTGTAAATTATCTGTAAATACGAATTACAGATCAGACACTATTAGTATCTGATATGCCAAATCAAATTGGAGTTTTTCCATTTCATTGTCTCCTAGATACCATTAATTATATGACACATTGTCTTATGTACTATTTAGGAAAAAATGCTGCTAATTAAAGTAGGGTACAGTGAGAAAAAACCACCAATAGTATGGTATACTCTAATTTTAGAGATATTAAAATCTAAAGAAATATGTATCACATGATCAGTAAAATATAGTAATGTGTTTTTGAAATTAGACTACTACCACAGGTATTTATGTTTGTTTAAACCTTGAACACTTTGAACATTATGCAGTATATTTTAAACATACATCAAATTGTTTATAAGTTTCTAAGCAAACACTCTTAGCTTCTAATGTAGAAGTAATTCAGAAATAACCAAAAAACAGTATCACTTAGTAGTTGTATGCTAAAATTTAATGGAATTTATAACCTCTTAAAACCTTCAAAACATCAAAACCGTATCACTTAGTGAGTTTTTGTGTTCTGAGTTGATTTTGTAAATTTATTTACAAATTAGCCTTAGGTTGAGGTTTAATGTTACATTTCTGTATCTATAGGCTTTGAGTCTCTGACTGGTAGGTACCACAACACAGTAAAGACTTCCAGTAAATTAAAGAACTAGGATCATGCAGAATGGATATTATGGTCAATGAGAGTCGGGCAGGAATTTGCTACTTTCAGCTGACAGCCTTCTAGTAGGGAAACATTAGCAAAGCTTTGGTGAAGTTCAGAACTTTTCCTGGCATAGGATGAAGTATAAAAAACTAACACATTTGAGCAGAGTTTATTAGCATTTTTGAATTATCAGAGATAAATTAATACTAGATTATAGTATCATATGGTATTACATAAGATGCACTGTTGATCTAGGTACAGAAGTTTCCATATAGATTAACTGATTTTTTAATTTTTATTTTTTGAGACAAGGTCTGATTCTGTCACTAGGCTGGAGTGCAGTGGCACCATCTCAGCTCACTGCAAACTCCACCTTGCAGGCTCACGTGATTCTCCCATCTCAGCCTCCCAAGTAGCTGGGACTATATGCATTAGCTAATTTTTGCATATAGCTAACTATATGCACTAGCTAATTTTTGTCTATTTTGTAGAGACAGAATCCTGTCATGTAACCCAGGCTGGTCTCAAACTCCTGAGCCCAAGCAATCTGCACACCTTGGCCTCTGAAAGTGCTGGGATTACAGGTGTGGGCCACCATGCCTGGCTTAGGTCAACTGAATTTAGGATTTGATATTAGGTGACTTTCCTGCAATCTATGTTGCTTTTGCCAGTTTACTTTATTTGCTTCTGCAAATATAAGTACAGTGGTTTGTCTTTGTAAGCCTTTAATAAAATGTCTAGCAGTTAAGACTAACATCAGACTCTTTACTCACTAATATAATATAAAGGCAACTCTATTTTAATTAACTAGTTGGAATTTCATATACCTTAGGTCTACAAATCATTTTGCAATATTTCTATCTCTATAAACTTGCTAATAAGTGATTTATAAATTTGTTCCAGACTCTCAAAGATGAAGACTTTTGTAAAAATGTATCTTTGGCTACTGTGAATAAAACAACTGAAGCTCCACAGCCCCATCACCATCATAAGCATCATCACAATCATGGACATCAGCACCTTGGCAGCAGTGAGCTTTCAAAGAATGAGCAACCAGGAGCACCAGATGCTCCTACTCATCTTACTTCTCCAGACCTTCATCACCACCATAAGCACAAGGGTCAACATAGACAGGGTCACCCAGAGAACTGATACATGCCAGGAAGTGAAGGTTTACAACATCCACAAAACAAGCTCTGACAAAAGAGATGTATAAATCAATTACTCTGAAAATTGCCCAAAGATTCAGAGTTGGCTCCTAGGAGCTGATGCTGACATTGTCGACATCTGATATTTGAAAAAACGGGGTCTGCAATCACCTGACAGTGTAAAGAAAACCTCCCATCCTTATGTAGCTGACAGGGACTTCGGGCAGAGGAGACTATAACTGAATCTTGTCAGTGACGTTTGCCTCCAGCTGCCTGACAGACAAGTCAGCAGCTTATACCCACAGAAGCCAGTACCAACTGAAGCTGAAAGAATAAGGCGAAAAAGTGAGAATGACCTTCAAACTAAATATTTAAAATAAGACATACTCCCCAAGTCAGTCTAGACACAATTTCATTTCCATCAGTTTTATAAACCTCCAAATTAGTGAACCAAAAATAGAAATTGGATTTGTGCAAACATGAAGAAATTTACTGGATTGGCTTTCAGATTTTAAATTTTATGTCATAGAAATATTGACTCAAACCATATTTTTTATAATGGGGCAACTGAAAGGTGATTGCAGCTTTTGGTTAATATGTCTTTTTTTTTCTTTTTCCAATGTTCTACTTGCTTTAATGAGAACAGAAACATAAACTATGACCTAGGGGTTTCTGTTGGATAGTTAGCAATTTAGAATGGAGGAAGAAAAACAAAGACATGCTTTCCATTTTTTTTTTTTTTTTACTTATCTCTCAAACAATATTATCTTTGTCTTTTCAATCTTACATTTTTAACTAAATTTAAAGAAAGAAGTAGATACTTAACACGTGAATATTTTGCTAAAAAAGCATATATATTTTAAATATCCATTTATCTTTTTTCATATTGAAGACTCATATCTTGCTTTTACTATCATACATGAATAAAGCCTATCCTTCTTTCTCTAATATTGTATCACACTCTTCTAAAACTTGATTGGCTGTCTTGAAAGATATAAGTGGAAAGATAAAGAATATTGTCTGTCTCTGTATTGCTTGGTAAGTATTTCCATAGTCAATGATGGTTTAATAGGTAAACTAAACCCTATAAACCTGACCTCTTTTATGGTTAATACTATTAAGCAAGAATGCAGTACACAATTGGATACGGTATGGATTTGTCCAAATAAATTCAATAAAAACCTTAAAGCTGACTCTTTTTGTGATGTAGGCTGTATGCATATATTGAAATTAGAAGTGAAATTTTCAGTTGCTTTTAAGTAAAATACCAACTAACGAATTTACTGCTAAGCTCAAAACCGTCTGCGCTTAAGGTGAGAATCTTTGCCAACAGAAAGGCGTTGCTCTAAATCGCGAATGGTATTACGAAGAATTGCAATCTCTTTGTTCTTTTCTTCTTGAATATGTTGCAGTTTCTAAATGAAACAAAAAATTTTATTACAATTCAAAAATAAAATTTAGTACAAGGAACAACAAAATAATAATAAAGAAATACATTTCTGCTATAAATTGGAATTTTAAAAATACCTTATATTGTTAATAAAAATTAGAAGATTTTTATAGAAACACGCTTAGAAAAGTTTCTTAAGCAACAAATCATGGGAGAAAAACTCACATACCCTTCTGTAGATACTCTGTGGTAAAACAGTAGAATCTGGATATGATTTTGATTTAGTCTGAACTCTTGCTAGTTTGGCATCAAACTGAATCAAATTTAAAAAGAAAGTTATTGAAACTCTAGACAATTAGAAACAATTGTTTCATAATCCATGATATCTTTTGACATGCAAGCTGTAATTTAGGTGTATTCTCTGTAATAATAGACCATAGAAAAATCCTGCTTTAAGAAACAATTTTTTCAGAAAGAGCAAAGGACGCACATACAAGATTAACCGTGACTGCATGGTAAAATTACCTGGGTAGGTTTTTTTTTTTTTTTTTTTTTTTTGTACCAAAAGCCTGGGCACTATAGAGATTCTGTTGTGTAGCTGGCATCATTTTTTTCTCAAAACGTGATTCTATAGTGCAGCCAGAGCAGAGAATCTAGTTTAACTTAAAGATAGGTAAAAATATTTTTACTTTAAAATGAATATATTATAAAGAAAATGTAATCAATAGTCAGGAGAAAACCTCACATATCTTTCTGCAGGAATTTTGAGGCTGAACAGTAGAATTTGAATACCACCTTGTCGATTTAGTTTGAACTCTTGCTGGTTTGAATTAACCTGAATCACGTTTAAAAAATTCTCATAGGCCATTCTTATAGGCCAAATTTTTCATTTTTGCACAATATTCTATTTTAACTTAAGATTTAGTTAATATAGCCTCTCTGAGGACTACGAGTAAGCTCTGAGGTTATGTTCTGGTTTGAGGAGAGAAATGGTTAGGTACAATAAAGACAGATAACAAGGAGCTCTGTATACTAGTTAAATAATAGACAGGTGATAAGGCCCAAATGGCAAACAAAATGCAAATTTCCAAACAGAGGAGGATTAGAAGTTGGCAGTAGATGTTGAAACAGGCCCATTAATTTCAGTTGGCCATTCAGTCTGTCTTGTGGTTTGTGGTACACTTGGCCAGATGGCAGCAGCAGCAGCATCAACAAAGGGCATCTAAATTCAACATCAGCTCTTTTTCTGTCCAGTGATTACACATGGTGCTTCACCAAGTACCTCAGGGATTCCAAAGTTTCAGGAATATGAGTAGCATGCGATCTTAACTAAGAACTGTGAGTTCTTACAACACAAGGTAAAATGAAAGTTGGAGTGGGGGGAAGTGATGGAAGAATGATGTAAGGGTAGCTTGATACAGTCTAAAAAAATTTAAAGGACAAATATTTTGTCAAAGTACCTTTGAGATTATGATATCTGGTTAAATGAACTACTCAAGATATTTGAGCAAAGAGCTAGAGCCTCAGCCTTTGAGATGCCCTATTTGAAGTCCCTTTAAAAATATTTTTTAGGAATTTGGTTTGTTTGCCCCTGAGATATATATGTTTCCAGAAAGATATTAGGAATAAATTTGTCTTTCTTACGAGAATTAAAGCAAAAGAAATTTCTAGTTGGTTTACTGGGGCTTGACAAATTTCTGCTGGGATAAGAATAATGTGAAGCATTAGAAACATTCTTCCCGTGCTGGAATGGTAGAATTATGAAACCAGCATAGAATTTACCATAAAATGCAGATAATCCCTGTCAAGGAAATGTAGTGCTAAAAACACAATAGCTAAAAATAAAGTGTCACTGTATTGGTTTAATAGCCAATTAGTTACACTGAAGATAGAATTAGTAAGCTGGAGAATAGGTCAGAAAAAAATATCTACCCTGAGACAGGGAAAAGCAAGAAAATGACATATACAGAAAAGAGCATATGAGATATAGGAGCTGGTTGTAAAGTCTGTGAAAGGTTGTTGTCTCTCATCTAGTGTTGGGCCAGTTGCTGCAGTCAGAAAGGCCTGCGGTTAAAAAGAAAAGTTGGATGTCTAGTGGGAAATACTAAGAACAAAAGTTATCAGAGGAAGCAATATCCTCTCTAAAAACCAGGATGTTTTGAATAACTGAAGAGTCTACCTTCAGGTCAAGTGCTGAAAGGCAATGCAGATAACAGTTGTATGGTGTGTGATTACTGCAATCATTTGATGGAGAATGAGCTTGTGTGAAGTCCTCTCACAGAATTGCTTCTAATCCTAAAATGTATCTTACTGTGGTGACAAACAATCAAAGTACAGTTTAAGGGGTGCGTCCTCAAGTTTGGCAAACTATTAAACACTTACCTCTAGTTGTAGCTTGATTATTTCATTTTGTTTTTCTTTTTCTTGATTTCTTAGCTTTGCATTTAACTCTGAAATTTCCATCTCCTTTTTCCCTATTAGTTCTTTGTGCTTTTCTTCATTTAATTCAACTGAATAAATGAAATAAAATTCATTCATTAAAAATTTCAAAAATATTATAAGCTTGTATTTCCTTAGTATTTTAAATAATTCCTAAGAAAGTAAATTTTACTAATGAAACATATTTTAGAAATGGTTTATGTTTAGAATAGCTTTTCTGTATTTTTTTTACAAGACCCCGAATAATGTTTGAGACGCAGAGGTCACTTGCCAAATCTTTTTGAATGAATAAGGTAATTTAAATGATTAAGCACCAATGGCCAAATAAATGGGAGATATAGTGGTTGAAGAGGAATACAAAGCCTGCGTTTTTAGGTATGAAGGGCTCAAACTACTGGATGTCTCTAGAGCTACATAAAACCCCTGCTATACTATTCTATATGATCAGGCCATTCTCATGTTCACATCATGTCTTTATGCTTTATCAAATTTCTTCTTCTCCCAACTTTCTTATTCCTGTTAATGACACCATGATATCTAGGATGAGAGGCTCAAGAAAATCTTTGATTTTTAATGAAAAAGGAGACAATCAACAAGCGCTACAAATGAAGGGCTTCCTAGCTTCTCGATATAGATATCTAGATAATACATTTGTAGATTTCTCCATGACTTATATTTAAGGCTATTAAGTCTATCCATAAACACAGCTTTAGTACAAATTTTGAAATGTAATGTTTTCTATATAATTCAGTTCAAAATATTTCCCAACTTCCTTTGAGATTTTTACCTTGATCCACAGGTTTATCAGGAATAATTTCCAAATATATAGGGATTTTTAAGTTATCTGTATCTTACCAACTTCCCCTTAATTGCAATTAAGATCCTATTCTGTATGATTTAAGACCTTTGAAATGGTTGAAATTTGCTTTTTCATTTATGATATGGTCACCTTTCTTAAATGTTCCATGCATACTTGAAAATAATATGTATTCTGCACTTATTGGGTATATTATTTATGTCAACTAATATCAGTTGTTAGTTTTGTTGTTTAAGTTTTCTGTATCATTACTGATTTTGCATATTTGAATGTACTTTTCTACCACTAAAAGGTGAATTCAAGTCTCTCATGATTGTGGATTTGTCTGTCATCTACTAGTTCTGCTGATTTTATTTGGTGCATATAAATTTAGAATTATTATATTATGCTAGTATATCAAACACTTATATCAGAAAATATTTATCTTTTGCTCTAGTATTGCTTCTTGCTTTAAAGTATACTTTGTCCAATGTTAGTATAGCTATGCCACCTTTGTGTCGGCTACTATATGCATGGTATATCCTTTTCCATCTTTTATTTAAATCTTTCTTATATTTTATATCAATATGTAATAGTTATTTATTTATTATAAATTATTCAGGGTCTTTCTTATATTTTATATTAATAATAATAGCTTTATATTTTAGGTATATTGAAAGTAGCCTATTAGCGGATTTTAATCTTTATTCAATCTGGCAATCTTTGTCTTTTAATTGGAAATTAAAGTTTAATTTAATGCATTTAGTAATATATTTGGGTTTAAATAGACTAGCTTATTATTTGCTGGCTTTTACATTTTATGTTCATTTTTCTCTCTTATCTTCATTTGGACTGAATAACTATTTTTACTTCCCTTCTCTTCTATTAGATTGATAGTCATTAGCTTGATATATATTCTTTTATTCTTCTTTAGTGGTTACCTTTGAGTTTATAACATGCATATTTGACTTATTAGAATTTAATAAAATTAGTATTTTTATCACTTTATGGACATTATGCAAGTCTTAAAAACATTTTAACTCCATTTATTCCCCCTCCTATCTTTGGTGGTTTTGTACTATGTTAACTTAGTTAAATTAGAACTATGTTTCCCACAATTCCCTTGTTCATACATTTCTAAGTTAGAGTTAGCCATAAGAGACATCTCCACAAGATTTGGAACATGGAATTATAGAAAGAATTAATTTGCTCTGATGTTTAGTATAAGATGCTGGGTAGTGTTTCAGTTCACACATGGTGTTGCTGGTCTTCTGGCTCACCAAATCAGCAGCTATTATTTTTTGGAGGTCAGTGTAGAGCCCAGGCAATGCTGCAATTCATATAAGTTGTCAGGTATCAATGGATCATCTCACTGATAAGGAAAATCATTTGGTTCCACAGCTTCTTAAGTTCCCACCAGATTTCTTTTTTAATTTGCTAGAAGTCTTGAGCCAGGTGTCCTTGAAGGTCAATGGCATAGGGCACCATCTTTTCCTGTAGGTTGTTGTGTCCTTAAGGTTGGAGGAGGTACAAGAAAGATGCAAATTCCAGATCGTTCTCAGAATTTCCCACTTGACATTCAGCTTTTCTTTTTAACTACAGGCCTTTCTGACTGCAGCAACTTTAGGCCCAACACTAGATGAGAGACAACAGCCTTTCACAGACTTACAACCAGCTCCTATATCTCATATGCTCTTTTCTGTATATGTCATTTTCTTGCTTTTCCCTATCTCAGGGTAGATATTTTCTTCTGATCTATTCTCCAGCTTACTAATTCTATCTTCAGTGTATCTAATTGGTTATTAAACCAATACAGTGAAACTTTATTTTTAGCTATTGTGTTCTTAGCACTTACATTTCCATATATTTCTCTGCTATAATTTTCAGTTCTCCATAGAAATTCCCGAAGTCTGACCAGGCTTGGTGGCTCATGCCTATAATCCCAGCACTTTGGGAGGTCAAGTGGATGGATCACTTGAGGACAGTAGTTTGAGACCAGCTTGGCCAACATGGTGAAACCCTGTCTCTACTAAAAATAAAAAATATAAAAATTAACCAGGCACAGTGGTGCACACCTGTGGGCCCAGCTACTCGAGAGGCTGAAGGAGAATCACTTGAATCTGTAAGGTGGAGGTTGTAGTGAGCTAAGATCGCACCACTGCACTGCAGCCTGGGTGACAGAGTGAGATTCTGTTCAAAACCAACCAACCAACCAACCAACCAACCAAAAAAATTTCCTCAAGTCCTTTATTTCTTTGATTATGTTAATCAGAGCCATTGTAAATTAAATATCTGATAATGCCATTATCTGGATCATAAATGAATTTATATTTATTTCCTTTTAAAAATATTTATAATTGAGGTTGCTTAGGTTTTTGTATTTTTAAAGTCAGATTTACTGCAGCTTAATTCATATGTAGCAAAATCTCTTTTGAGGTATACAGTTTGATGAGTTTTGAGAACCATATTTAAGAATCTAACCATCACTTCAATCAGGTAAAATTTTTCTGTCACTTCAAAAAGATCCCTTGTGCCCCTTTACGATCTATCCTTTTGCTCAAATACTGGCAAACATTGATCTGATTTTTGTCGTTATAATTTTTTCTTTTTCAGGAATGTCATATAAACAGAATCATATAGTATGTGGCCTTTTGTGTCTGGTTTCTTTTATTTAGCATATTGCTTCCGAAGTAATCATATTGTTGAAGGTATCAGTAGTTTGTTCCTTTTTATTGCCGAATAATTTCCATTATATGGATGTACTATGATTTGTTTATTTATGTTAATGAATTTGCTCAATTCCAGGTTTGGGCCATGATGAATAAGGTTTCTGTAAACATTCATAAGCAGGTCTTTGTGTAGACACATGGTTTCATTTCTCTTGGGTAAATACCGAGGGGTGGGAATGCTGGGTCAGATGGTGTATAATGTGGTGGCCATGAAAATGAGCCTCTCAGATCTCAAAAATCCTAATTGATCACTTGCCCCAGCACCTGCAGTCGAAAATCCATTACTGTATTTAAGCTGAGGCCGTGCTTCTATGGTTGCAACTAGTCAATGACAGGATATGTAAGGAATACTACTGTGGGCCAATTTTTGGGAGATGTGGGATTCATTCACAGATGAATTTGGATCAATGACTCTCCAGTGCCTTTACCTAACTTAGGACTGCAATGCAGCCTAAGACTTTCAAAAACCTAGTATTTCTTTCTCTCTTTCCTTCACAGACGTTAGACCTACATTATGGACTGACAGCTTACCTGGCCTTTTCTAATTCCCTCCCCATTTCTTTTCATAATACAATACATTTCTTGAATGTCTAATCCCATCTTGGTATTTCCTTCTTTAAGGACCCGAACTAGCACAAAATAACAGATATAATGGGATTCTGAGATTGGCTCATTTACCACTTTGTGGGCAATGAAGAAGCCATCCTTAGTGGTATGTGGAGTACTGGTAGTTCCTGTAATTACTACAGATTTCACCAGAAGTAATCTGGGAAAATGTCCCGATGGTGGGGAATGCCTTGCAAGTATGATAATTAAGACATTTGAAATATCAATGGAAATAATGCCCACAAAGGCAGTAGAGTTATCTGGTTACTGCTAAGTTAAACTGACATTCTACTAAAGGATAATGAGAAATTGAGGGCTGTTAGCAAAAAGGTAAAGAATTAAAGAATAAATGTGAGAGTGAGAGATCTCTTTGATAGCTTACAAACATACTCTTACCTCATGTTTGTGTTTGTAATGGAACATCAAACACAGCTAAGCAACAGAAAATCTAATAGAGATGAAGAACTGCAGAGATGTTTAAATGTTTAGCTAAAGCAGGTCTACTATGATAAATTTTAGACCCTGGTTGGAAAGACTTGAGATCCTGAAAAATAGGAAGAAAACATGTAGATGGATGCCTCTGAGGATGCTAGCTCTAAAGATTTTCCTAGGCCCTTGAAGTCTGAAGAGGTGGCGGACTCTTTCCTGGTAAGAGCTAGCAACATCCCTGTGCTGAAAGATGTAGAGGCTCCTCTCAGAAGTTGCCTCTATCTCCTCTTTTGGCTGTGAGGCCAATAACTAGGGTCAAGACCCAGCATAACTTGGCTGGGAGACAAGTGTTTATATCTAAAAGTATCTGGAAGAATTATCTAGGTTGTATTGGTAAGAGTTACGTGAGTATGTCCCCTGAGAACAGATTTTGAGGCTGCTGGATCAAAGAAGACAGAAAGTAAGACCAGGTAAGCAAGAATTCATTGACTCAGCATTACTCTTCAGGGAC